AGGTACTGCTGCTTTGCCTTGTTTTAGATTAGTGACAGCCTTAGTAACCTCAGTAAGGGACGGAGGACCTATGTCTATGTCCTATTCAAGGAGGTGTTGGATGTTCGGTAAGTTGAGCCTGGCTGTAGGCCAATCAAACTGCTCCTCATTGTGTTCTTTCCAGCGTCCTAGTGGTCTATCCTGGAAGCTAATTATAGTGCCATTTTCCTCAGAGATTGTTTCGCTTATCGTTTGCCTTTTGCCACGTGTTTCCCTGATAAGTCTAAATAGTTGTCTGATGTTACCAATCGCCGATGCCTTTTCCATATTTTTCGCTTTTGTCGCCCACCACTGTTCACGGTCGTTAGGAAGGCTTTTTTTAGTCTGCGTTTGAGTTGCTTTCGCTTCTCATTATAATCGGATCTCGCCGAAATCAGTCTTCTTGCGTCAATCAGTTCGGATGAGGCGGTAGAGATCCAATAGCTCTTCCTAACTTTTAGTTTTAGGTTATTAACAGCCTTTACAACTGTGTCTACAACTAACTGTATGTTGTGCCAGGCTACCTCAGGGAAAGTCCTGCTGTCAACCTCGTTTCATAAATTCTTCCTTAAATAGGGACTCAGAATCTCGATATGGTTGGGGACGTAAATGTTTCGCTGCCATCAATTTCTTATGTCCACTTAGTCGTAAGCATAAACCAGCGCGAACCAGGGCGTGATCTGAGTCTATGCACGTGTTCCAGAAGGAGCGACAGTTTACTACTGACCCTCGCCAACGATACCCTATCGCTATGTGATCTATCTGAGTCCAGCGTTGATTTGGTGATTGAGGTCGCCAGGTTAAACAATGTCTCTCTTTATGCCTAAAGTTAGTGCTGACTAGGAACAGATGATTATCTGAGTAGAACTGTAGAAGACAATCACCGCTATCGGTTCGCTGGCAGGGAATTCCATACGTGCCAACTACATACTTCTCAGTCTGGCACAACTTCCCTACTTGGGCATTGAAGTCGCCTGCTAAAACAACTATGTCTGAACGTTTTGCTTTTTGCAGCAAATTAGAGAGTTTCCGGTAGAAGTCATCTTTTAATTCATCCGAACTGCAATCTGTTGGGGCGTAAGCGGAGACTACGAAAAGACAACGACGGGTAACGCCGTCCTTCCTTCTTGTAAAGGACCCATTCAGACGGACCAAACACATACGATTATCTACTAGGTTCCAGTCAAGAAGTGATTTTCCTGCCTTAACACTCAAAGCTAACCCTACACCTGAGAGTCTACTCGAACTAGCTGAGGGATCTCCTGGCACCTTTAAAGTGAATTTTTCAGATTCACCGTGTTGGCTGGGTGAGGTTAAGTGAATGACCACACTTAGGTCTTGTATGCGTGTCTCCGAAACACTACATACATCCATGGCTCGAGATGTCAGAGTTCTTGCTATTGATGTCTGTTGTCGGATCTGGCACAGGGTCCTGACGTTGAAAGCTCCTATATAAAGTCAGCAGCCTGGCTTTACGCGGCTGTCGGGGGTGTTCCTATGGTTCTCATCATTGTTTGTGATCACAGAGTGAAGTGAAGATGACTCACTAGCCTGAAGAATAATAGTGACTGTAGTAGGGGAGTAAGATGATGAAAGTGATGTGGGTAAAGGAGAATGATGCTCGGGAAGACTTCGTGTGGTTTTGGAAGTGTATGGGCGGTTGTTATTTCCCGGCTGCACACATCGTGGAAGCTGATTGGTTCTTCGGGTACCTGAAACAGAAAGACGGTTAGTGTTGCGTGACCGCATAGCCCAAGGAACAACTGCTTGAGGCCGGTCACACACAGCCTGTATGAGCTGCTTTCTTGGATTGGTTACGTATTAGTAAACTTAACGCCGGTTACGGACCACCGTAGGGAAAGTCGGGATGTATGATTGTTGGGGTCGACCTTTTTTAACCCCCTCCCTTCAGAGTGGACAGACAGCATAGCTGGCTGGCATGCTGGTCATCTGAGGGAAACACCTCACTGCTGTTACATCCCTATTCCCCAGCAGTAGGACTTCGCCCACAGACCCCCAGCATAGCGTAAAAACAATTCTTAAACTACACCGGTAACTGCTTTTAGTCTAATCGCTATCCTAATAATCTTCCTGGCATGGTAGGACCTAAAATAGTTCCAGCCAGTGTAGTTTGTTGGTTCATTGCGGTATGCAAGCCCGATCACCACGTCAAGGTAGCAGATATCGGTAGGAGGTTCGGGGTTCGATCCCCGGTCGGTGCACTGTCAAACTTCTCCTAGCCTAATAATAAGCCCGGCAAAGAAGGAAGGTTGGGCGTGAAACTAGCAATTCCACCCCGTAAAAATGAGATCATTGTTACGGAAACTTCAAAGCTCTAGCCTGAAGCCCTATGTTTCAGTGGGAACGCAAAAGAATAAAATAAATTTAAAAAATAATAAATTAGAATAACAATATAGAACCTAACGAATTCGAAATCAACAGCACAAAAGTAAACAAATCGTCGACAAGTTTGAAGATTCAGAGTTCGGAATGATAAATGTTGAGTTATTTTAGGTGTGGCAAACTTATAAACACAGAGATTTACGCAAAAAGTCAATCAGTTTAAGCTGTCCCAACCGAAAAAAAATCGCACATTAAAGTACAGTAAAAAGAAATATAATCAAAACTGTGGTGAATGAGGATGTACAACAAACAGGATAATTAAATATTTTTTAAAAATCAAGATTTTTAAAAGTCAAAAGACCGAACGTGGTAGTATACAACTACCTACATGGGTAGGAACAACAGTCAGAGACTTTGTGGACTGAAGACATCTTTCAGCTTTACCACCGGTAATTTTCGCCAAAATTAATACTATTTCAGATGGCACTGCTTGTCACAAAAGGCGGCGGCTCACATGAGTAATACATTAGATAAACTTTAATATCTTACCCAACACTCAGAACTTCACCCTAAGATCGTTTACCATATTGTTCTATCGAACTCGAGCTGTTGAATGCTTACAGTTGCAAAAGTCTCTAACTTTTTCATGTATTCTGGCTTCCATTGTCGTGTTACTCAGTCGTAAAGTATGGAGGAAGCAAAGTGGTGCAGGATTGACATATCATTTTATGAGTAAGACCTACTTTTTGCCTGTGCAAAAGACTACGCATGTAGGCGAATACTAAACGAGTATTTCTTAACCATGCTGAGATTTCCTAGGTCCATTAGGGTTCAGTTCATGCAGCCCCCCTCTCCAACTAGTCAAATGATTAAAACATTCAACCATTACACTATTCGATATTACACAAACAGTTGATGCAGACCACTCTTAAAGAGCCATCTTACATTTATCTAAACAAAATTGGATGCCACACACGCTTAAATTTTTGATGAGAGTGTTCAAAAGACTCTGGATTTTGTCGGCTTCTTCACCTATAATGACTATTTCCTCTGGATATTAAAAATCAACAAGACTCTCATTCGTCGTAACAAGTCAAATACTGGAAAATCAAATTTAACACGGGTTACAAACATTATGAAATGAAACAACGGACAGACATCACTATAGACGATATCCTTCCAAAAACATAACCTCATGAGTTCGAGTAGAATGCTTAGATTAGTAAAATAAACTTCCTCGTCACTTTCTTCATAGACGGATTTTTTCACAACACTTCTCGATCGACAAGATCATACGTTACCCTTAGGACAAGAAATATGACAACTGATGCGTGCCAATAAGTATGCCTATGTTCGTGAACCTTTGGAAGCGTGAATATATGATCAGTTTACACCAGTCGAGGTAAGAAATGAGCCTTGCTTCCCTTAAATTAACTAACCGTAACTATATAGGACCAAGGACCCTAATATAATAGATAATTTATTAGTTAGTTAGATCACAGGAAAATTTGCTATATTCCTTATAAACTGAGATAATTAATGATTTACACACGTTTGTCAGATAAGCAGATATATATCCTTATTATTCATCAAAACGGATAAAGAATTGTGGCATTCGCCAACCTCCAGTGATATTACAGAAGGCAAGTTCATCAAAAGACAGCGTTTGCTGTTGCTGGGTTCGATGAGCCATAACCTCTGTCAGGTAAGACTTATTTACAACCTTCACATGGCGAGAGTGTTCTTCCCAAAGGTGAATGAGAGAATGTGAAAGTCTGGGGATTGCAATCCGACTGGTAAACATGCAGATTCACCTAAGGGAGATAGGAAACCTTGATTTCAAAGCTATGGTGTACATGGGCTACAGAATCCGAAAGGACCGGATGGTGGTGTATGAACCTATTTTGGTCACCAAAAACAATGGGAACGTAGCTCCTGACGCTGCCCCCATGCCATGTGGATCAGATCTCAAGTCAACAGCTCAATGTGTGGCCCCATAAGACAACCACTTGCTTCGATTTGGGTGTTCGGGCATCATTCCAGGCCTCACGCAAACTGTGCGATTTTGTCTGGCACATCACTTAGTTCACCCCTAATGTACCAAGTTTGTGTTGGAATAAATAATGAGAAATAATGTTCGTTGAGCTCATAAAATAAATTGATACCATGGACAGCTGACTGAGCCACAAATCTGCCACCCATTCCAAAAACGCTGTGTGCTGTGAAGCAGTTTGCGCTGTCATTAATTAGTCTTGTGCCATATAGCTGATGGAAACATCAAACAAAGAAAGACTAAATGCTTTTCGAGTTGTCGTTGGACTATAGTCTAAAAAATACTACTTTTACGGTCGAAGAAGTTCAGAAAAAAGTCTGCTTTAAACCTGTAGTTTAGAGGATCAGGCATTCACCATATGTTTGAAGGATTATAATCATTGCAAAGTAGTATCACTTAGAAGTTGGTGAGTAATACAACCTTCGAATAATGGATTTGAAGCATTACTAGATGATACCCCCGACAAGTAAATCTTTGTTACGATAAACTATTTCATGGTCCAATAATGAATCCTTCAGTTTCATTGGTAAAAATATTGAGGTTAAAAACAAAAATGACAACACCAATAACAACTAAGTAGACTAACTTGATAATAGGTGGTCATTTCATCACAACAGCCTGTTTGACCAAGGGGACATTTAACTTGTAATATTGGTTCGCCAAACGGAACAGATATCCGTGAATTAGTTGCACTCGTTAAGGTCTTACTAGAATTGCGTATAAGTTGGCTAGAAACATTAGACGATCCCGCAGACGGAATAAATGTAGTTGTTTGGTCGAGTTTTTTGCGCAGAGCTGTTAACCATTGTCTACGCTCAAGCTCACGTCTAAGACCAGCTGCTTCCATAAAACTGCGTCGCATAACATCCTAATCAGAAGGCAAGAAAATAATTACTGTTGTAGTGAGAACAGACGGAAGTGAAATGTACCTACAGTGCATCGACAGACAGACAATAGCTAGGAGATTACAATATCCTAAGGTTGAACAAAATAATTAAACTCATACAGGCACCTAAAATCAATATAGCATTAATAATAAGGTAATCATCTAGAGTAATCTACCTAATAAATGTATTTGATTTCATTACACATCCACATTAGCCGGGAGAAACAATATAAAAACCAAGGTACACTGAAGCACTGTATCATCGGAGTTTAGGAGACTTCAGCAGTGTGCATAGCTAGCTTACTCTCTCTTAAATACTAATTAACGTAGGGCTATTGCAACCCAGTACTCTCAATATGGGCGTTAACAAATAGTGGATAAAAGTTGGTTAACGTGTTAGGATGGACTAACTACCTTTGTTAATAGTGAAAATATGAATAATGGCTGCGCCGACATAGTAACCTGGTCGGACAATTTTTGACTCATTTATTTTGCAGGACCTCCAAGGTCAGCAACACAAATGGTAGGAAGACTTCCGACTTAAACTGATCGAAGTGCTTACTGATAAATTATCTTTGGAGTCATCCAGTCATCCTCATACTGAGATTATTGATTCTATCATTCAATTACCCACAGAAGTACAGAGCAATTTACCAGCTGATACACTGTATACACTGTTGGGTTTCAATGAATCGATGAAACAATAAAAAGACGGTTGCAGCGAAGAAAATTTTCCTTCCGACGAAGTCATCAACTAGTCTGTACATCCGTGTATTTATAGTAAGTGGGCAAGAAAGCTCCAGAACTATCTCCGGTCAAAGGGCAAATTAATAGAATTACAAAGTATAATCCATGAAAATTGATGTTGAAAATCAGACTGATAATCTGCATCAAAATCTAGTGAAGGCATTATTTGTGCAAAACCAGAAGATATATTCAGATCAGTTCAATGCAGAGATTTTCACTCCAGTTTCTCCCATATCTTAGGAGAAGGAAGAATTCTTTCCAGTTCCCAGTACATACCATGTTGCTGAAAATGCGTCTGGAGATATCTTGAACTCAATTGGTGAAATCTCCTGTGATTTTCAATTCATTTCAAAGAATTTTAAAGATTTATGTTGTCTTACCAATCGTCATGATTCGGATATGCTAGGCATTGACTAGATTGATAAACTGTCTTTTTGGGAAATACTTTTTCGGGATATCGATTCTGATGAAACGATGCAAATTCTTCTTTGAATTTTTGAAGAACAAGCATCAGTAATCAATACCCGCTCCCGATGTTTCGTTCTGACCAAGGAACTGAGTAGTGATTTCCTTACTTTTGATGGTAAAGTCAACTATGCATCAAGCAAGGAACCTCACACTAGAACATACGAGGGGTATCATAGATGTAGAGTACTCAAACTTGAAAATCTGTTAAAAATGAGAGGTGTTAGGACGGATAACATATTGTTGTTAGTCGTTAAGTCATGACTAATGCAATCAATCAGATAGTGATTATTTGTTCAAGGTTTAAATTACCATGGAAGTGTAAACGATATATATCTGGTATTTTGTATCATAAAGTTGTTGTCGCAGTTAAATCTGATTTCTGTGTCTACCTCAGTGTTGAGGAATGTTTTCAAGTGATCAGTTGGCAACTGCGTCGTGACTGAAGGCTTATTCTAGTCACGATAGATGACTTCAAAATCACTGACACTCTGTTAGGACACAACGAAAGTTGTCGCATTACACAACAATCAAACCCTACAATACATGCTTTAAGATATGAACTACAATAACAGAACACCGCGATTTCTAACCTTTTCATGAGAATACGCGTTGTTCACGATGCATTTCATAGATAAGCAGCCAAAGATTAATGATAATTATGATCTACAAGTCAGGTAAATGCCAACACTTCTGGAAACTGACCCTACTCGATACGCGTCACTCCATGCTGAAGTTAGTAGTGAATTTGCACACGTCGCACATGTTTAGTGATATCACATTTAAAAAAGATCCACAGAGTTTATGATGAGCCATTCAATGAGGTGCCTACACAAAGTGGTGTACGTAAAAGGTTTCCGTTCCTTCCATTTTATTTAACTTTTAATACATACAGTTATGAGGATTCATATATCCATTCTTAATTCACAGGAGTTGACTTTCAAGCAGCAAATAATTCATTTTTACTTCGGATATGCAGAGAAAATGATTATGTTAAGTAGAGATTCTAACGAGATTTAGAGCCTTCTGAACGTTTCAAATAAGTCTAAAATTGTTTGAGGTACGTCTTTAACTTCTCAAATGTTAGTTGCCATACCAGGACTAATCTGCATCATTAATCCACCTTACTATGGGTAGTGAAGTAGTTACACGCATCACGTATTTCAGCTAAAAAGGGAGTTGCAACATTCTTGATAAGTTAGCGGATGATGAAATCTGGGCCCGAATATACAAGGTTTGCTTTGTTTTGGTTAAATTCCTTGACACATTACAGCAAACATTGAATTACCCATCGAAATAAGGTGGGAAACCGAAGCAAAACAGTCTATTGTTATGTACAAGGATCCCGATGGCTGGACAGTCTATGAGCTCGCCTTGTAACCGGAACGTCCAGGGTTAGAACCCCAGTGGGTGCGTACTGTCGATGAGTTCCAAGCACTAAGACGAAACAGCTGTCCAGTACTCCCTGGTTTCCCGTGGTTCTCTAACTGATATCAATCCGTAGTCAAACTTGAAGTAATGAAAATCCTACGAACCCTGCAGAATTAAAGTATTTGACCATAATTGGCCTTCACTATGCGACTGCACTAGTTTTGTAAAATCACGATATGAGCTAGGTTGGAGATAGGTGTAGAATCTGAACTAACAAGAGCACGTTAGCTAGAAAAATTATACATGTGAATCACTCGAGGTGGGCGACAAGTTTGGCGTCTTAGTATTCATCGTCTATATCAGTGTGTCTGAGTCGGTATAAATAAGATCAGATTAAAAATAATGAGATAAACTTATAAAACTGTTACCTATTAATTTGACTTGTTTAGTAGGAATTTTGTAGATGACTTAGTTTATAATCGATTGATCGTAATAGCAGAGATACTCTCTCCTGGCTAAGACTTCATTAATTTATTTCTATATTTGTTATGTCTTCCCTGGTGTTTTATAACATCTTATCACCTCTGTATGCACTCCTCCGACTTCTTCATCTTTTTTTCTTTTTGCCTCCAAAACTTGATGTTCAGACATGAAGTTTAGCTACTTTGACCACTATTTAGTCTAATACCAGATCATATTTTGATACCATCTATCTGATGATAAAAGAATAGTAGATGGTAGTCATTACATGGGATGAACCAGTTAGTAATTTTAAAGTTAGCACAACACATTTTCAATTGAATACCTAAATAAATCTAATATTAAAGAAAAGAAGGTTAGTCAAAATAAATTTAACCAGGAAAATTAGTTAACTGATTGTTAGCAAAATACCTGTGGACTCAACCAATTCGTTCGATGTAAGTGTAAAATCATGGAGTAGGTGATCTTGAATTTTGAAACTAGTTGAGTTTGCTTGCCAAGAATTATATCGCTTAAAGTATGTTCAGGTGGTAAACCTGAGCTAGCTGAAGTAACAGATTTACCAATACTACCAAGTAGGATAATCACAGATCCTGAAGCATCCAAACCACGACGACCTGCACGGCCAGCCATTTGTGTATACTCACCTAAAAAACAAAGAATTAGTGTGTAAAGAAATACAAATAATTGCGAAAGGAAATTATTACTATCACACATTATTAGGGAGGATGTGTACTTCACATGGATGATTGTGTTCAATTGTAACAAAGTAAAAACTGTTATAGATAGAGTACTTAACACTGTTATCTTTTCTCCCCTTCAGGAAAATACCCAGAAGTCTATTCCATGGAGTGAGAGGCACAACGCCTATCAGGACTCAATATCAATAAGGACAATTAGACTGTTTTTGTTTGTGAGGGCTTGACTAGCGCTCTCTGATTTCGGCCATTGTGCCAAACACACGCTCTTACCGAGCTCTCGTTCTGCTTTTCTTCTTGGTGTGACTGTTGCTCATTGCGTTACACAATTACAGAGCCTTTATTGTCTTTTTAGATAATTCAAACATCATCAGTGCATTCTTTAGTATCATTATTTCAAGACGGTCAATCACACTGTTCATAGCACAAATCTGTCTTCAAGCAGAAAAACAGAAGTATTGAAATAAAACAACTATTTAGACCAAAAAGCTACTATAAACTTAGTACAAGTGTACTATGTTTCACATTTTAAAAGTACTGTAAAATCACAATCTATGACTGTTTATATTTAGTAGTGCAAATATGCAAGTCACACTGAAAATTGTTCGTTATGTTCCCTGAAGCTTTCATTGTCCTTCTGGACAATATCTTCATGGCTAACTAACTTTAATGCTCACAGGACAACAACAACAACAACCCCAAAAACATCCACATGAGTTACAAATCTCCCCCATTATTTCGAAATAGCCGAATATATTGACCATAACTGAGTATAATCAAGCAGATAGATTTGAACAAAACAAGAACAGAATATTGAGTAAGGATAATAATACAACATCATTATTTTATTTCATTGCATCTTGTCATCTTCACGCAATCTGAAACAATTGTGCAGGGAATAAAAAAAACAGCACATTTCACAGCTTTTCTTCAGCTGATAGGAGCCTTCAAATGATACAGGTTATAAAGAATGTAAATATGTAACATATTTCAAAAGTTACTCCATCTCTAAGAGCTCTTATTGATTCGTATTACAGTAGTCGAACAAGTGGTACAATTATTAGATAATCAATAATTTATGGAAAATTCCCCTTGTGACATGCAGAAAATCTTTTCAACGAATTAATAATCTGATAACCACAGTTATTTATATGCAATATGATGGAAATTTCAATAGAAGATGAAAGTGAAAAGATACTGTTAGTAGAAGTAAATTTACTACATGTAAACAAACAATAAAGTACCCGACGCAACAAAAAAGAGAGACACCTCGTTACTAGCGGGGGGGGGGGGGTAGCACACGCAGCTTTTCCATTAACAGAGGCTAGGTGGAAATTGTTTGATGGAAATGGCTTCTGCAAAGTGAAGGTTCATCTATATTTCCTGATTATTTTGGAGGCCTGACTGATTTCAACTGTAAGCCCCATGTCAAACAGGGTACCTGACTGCCAGAAAACGGGTTCTAGGATCTAGTCTCAACCCACCTACTTAAGGCTGGTTAACTGAGTAGTATCAGCAGTCCGCATACAATAAGTATGACTCAGGGTACAGGACAACTACGATTGCACTCGCAAGCACCTTCTTACTTTTCATTCTAAAGCTCTTAGAGATGTGCTTGGAAAATCCAGTAGACTTTCTCGTCTAAGATCTTCCTACCCCACTTATAGCTGCTACTTCGCCGTGGTGGTCGCAATAACTCAACAAACAACATTAGCTGAAACTAATCTTCCTGCAGGTCCCACTCTAGTCGTAAACGACAAAAGACTTGGTAACGGAATGTTTATTTGCAATTTGGTATCTCCATATAGCTAAATTACGTACACCCTATCTTCAAATCCCCATTTACACAGATCCTCCAAGTTGTACTACATCTGGCCTTCATATTGTGTTTCTTTGTGTTCCTTTTACTTCTCCCATGTGTCTCCGCAACGGTGTATCATTTGCTTTCTCTGATATCGAATCTGTCTCCCTGCTACTTGGTCTTTTCTGCCGACGAACATCTCTTGATACACTACTGATAAATTTTACCAGTAGCACATGCCGCAGTGGGACTTATATATTAAGTAAATAAATAAATACAAGGGTGTAAGGGAAGAGTAACAGGTGTTAGTAAAATCGCAAAAATCTTCAAAAGTTAAGGAGGAACGTGGAAATTTGATTATAAACATGAAATTGCCAACACATATTAGGTAGAAATGTTATATAAAAGTGTTATATGAAACTAAATAATTCAAACAAGGTGGATGGAAGTCGAACAATAAGGTCAACAGTATAGATGAAAACAAGTTCAGTTTTAACCACCTAGTAGCGAGTGTTTTACTGGAGTTAACTTGTTGATAAATAATTTTAAAACATCAATTCTGAGGTCATTATCTAGAAGCTAAAGAGCTTTCCTACATTTTTTTTGTCACAAGCTTCGTCGGTTGTTATTTTCCACTTATCCTCGACGTAATTTGAGGGGAAAATAGACTAAAAACTGATACCCTATTTTTCCGCTGAAGGAAAAGAGAAAATAACAGTAAAAATTCAAAATAAAACTGACTTGAATTCAACGGACGACGTTTCTGACCATCGAATTTCTCCAGTGTAGTAAAAATGACACAACGTGCCGGCATATTCACACCCATAGCGAATGTTTCAGTAGCAAATAATATTCTTACTAGACCACGTTGAAACAACATCTCTACGGCCTGGTGTGTAAGAAAAAAGGAAATTAATTATACACGAGGTGGACAATTCTAATGAAATACACACACAGACAGACACAGAAGGAAATACATAAGTATGTGAAATGTAATAAGTACGAATTTCTGTCCATACGTTGATTACTCTGAAATCAATGTGAAGGTTTCCATCACTTAGTACAAAGAACAGTATTGTCAAATCAGTGCTTTTATACGGTTGAGGCACTTGCAGCATATATCACCGAAAGTACTTCCAACATGCTACTATACGCTTTCACCAACACCTTTCTTCACTCCAAACCGAAAATCAGGTAGCCAGCCAGAAAGTAAAAGCAATAAGAAATTCTGGTAGGCGGTGAACCAGATAGTGACCAGCAGGTGTGCAGAAGGAAGATTAGACATACAGTGATAGTGATATCGCAGATCAGGAAACCCCTCTAGCGGAACTCGAATGGCAAGTGAAGAGTTTGTTGCCCGAAGGTGACATAGAAGAGATCATGTGAAGAGGAGATGACAGCCCGTGGGCACTCGTGCAGTCAGTTGAGAGTGATGCTAGGGAACCGAGTGCAGTGGAGATGTACAGCTGAAGCCCTATGTTCCAATCAGTACTCACGGGATAAATAATAATGATATTAATAATCTGCACAGAAACAAGTGTTAGAGTTCGTATTGTTACTGCTTGCATGTCGGAACATTGAGTTGGTAGAGGGCAGTTAGTAATTGTGACTGACTTAGTTGAAAGTCATGAGCTTTGAAGTAAACAAGGCACATGCACATTTGCATACTTATAGATTTTACCCTCCTCTAAATAATAGTGAGTATTGACGAAAGAAAAAAGTCAATTACCACGATGTATTGTTCATAACCTATCCATCGATAAGCTAATCAATAGTCCCATGTCACCTAGATTAATGACAACACTGTACACTTGACTGACGACAGATTTCGATTAACAAATACCATTTGACAATCATAATACTTGTTATCTAACAGCTAACTGACGAGCATAAAAAAACACTCCCTGAATGCAATCATATAAGATTTGAACAACAAATTAATAAAGGTTACTGAGTGAAGTATGTATGGATATTGGACGAAATAATGAACATGGCACGGGGTTCAAACCCGCAACTCATTGACTGGAATTCCAGGGCTTAAGCCGGTGAGCCATCTGACCACTCGGTTACTTATGAATAGTTTGCTCTGTCAGCAGTTGAATGATACACGCACAAAATACAAAAAAAACGAGTAAAACACATAGCCTACTTCTTTTAACAAAGGCATCATGCCAGCATGATGAACAGCCAATCCTCTTTCAGCCAGTTTACTGATAAACTGTACAGAAGCCAGCTGTCGATCACATCTTCTTAAACGCTTGATAACTGAAGCATTGAGAAAACTTTTAACTTGTTGTTTTTCGTCTGTAAGAGAGTGATTAAAAAGAAGAGTAGCGTTACGCTTTGAATATGAAAAATTCATTGGTTAAAACACTCCGAAGGATGGTAGGACTTTCTGAGGTATCCATAGGTTGACAGACCCTTACCAATGTAGTGGATGATGACTGAGAAGGTGAAATGAACATTTGGTAGTTGCGGCAAGATTCAAACCAGCAACTTCCGAACCACTGATCCGGCGCTCTACCAGCTGAGATATGAAGTCCAACCGCCAAATTATCGAGGTCTAGGCGGCGAGACAGCATCATTAAGCTCTCATACAAAAAATCCCATTGGTTGTTGAGCAAGATATTTTCCAAGTGCCCGTAAATATGTCTGGTATTACGGAGGATACTAGAGATACCATTGCTACTCGCAGCAACATAAGTGATCTAAGAAAAGGCCTAGCACTGACCCATAATGTCACCATAAAAAAGAAACGTGGAGAAACACATTGGCTACTTAGTCCTAGTTTATCGAATATACGCCGAAGACGTGCAACTTGAATAATTTTTTTTAAATTGCAGAAATTTGAAAAAAATTTCACTACTGCTGAAAGGCAGAAAGACTGGCAGAAAGACGAAGCGCTAAATCACTACAAAACTTGAATAGGCAAGTTGAGTAATTACTATGATACGGTTACAAGAAATAAATTGAAAATAAATTAAAAAGAATTATAATAAGCGGAAATGTGAGGGAGAAAGAATAGTAACATGCAAAAAAATGACGGTTTTGTTGGTTATGGGGGATCACAGCGAGATTGAATGCATTTGTGCCATTGAAAACGATTTTCAGCTGTATTTCCAATAGCCTACAGCCATTGGTTCTTAGCATCCTGAGGACCCCAATCGGCCAGCCTACACCACCCTAAGTGGCTCAAACCAACTGTCAAGGACTTCATAAACTGATGGCAGGTTTGGTTTGACCAACCCTAACTCTTTTCCAATCTAATCCTACGTCAGCGAACACTGCATGTCGAGGAAGAAGATGGATAGACATGTGTAGCATATGCCCCCTTGCCATCTCAATCGATGTAGCTTTACAACCTGATCGGTTGACATACCCTACTTACCTAACACTCTACATCTAATCCTAATATTACTCATCATATTATAACACTTAACACGAGAGATAGAATGCGAATACCTGTGACCAAAGACAGCTAGTCTTTTCTTGACTTCTACTTTCCATGACCGTGTCTCACAGTCATAAAAGGAGGACAGACACATGGAATGTCTAGTCTGATAGTTACGCTGTGCGGCACAACCTTGCTGTGGACTAATTTGAACTTCGGTGAAAAAAACTATGACACATAAAATATTCGCAATCTAAAATTTAATCATCTGTCAACTGTAATACTTTACTGGGTGTTTATCAAAGTATGTGATGTGTATGTTGTGATTTGTGCATTTTATGTCATTAAATTTTTTTTAAATCTGATCATGGTGTGAAGAAATGCAAATGAATGCGATATTATAGTCTCCCAATTGGTGAACTAGAAGCGTATACGTATTGAACTCTAGTGATACGAAACAGAATTGTCATTAATTAGTACACTGTAGAGAATTTTGTTTGGAATAACACTGTCAACATTTACCATTTAGTAATCTCAATATGCCTAATTACAATTCCATTAAGTCAAAATGACATGCGAAGGAATCAGTTGAAGTTTAAAGAACTAGCACTTTCACTTCTATTATGGCTAATTTACAGTTGACTTTTGATTTTCTTATAACAAGTGAAATGCACACAATAGCACACAACTACTACATAATGTTTGTCTAGTATGGCAACAAGTTTTCATGCAAATGATTTGAATGCAGTTACTTCATAGACAAACAAAAAAAGCCCACGGTAAAAACAAACAAACAAACAACAGAACATGATAAACAATCACACAGTAATTTACACAATAATCAAAATATATAAAATATGCACTAACTGTGATTCAGTAAATCTACTGACGACAAATGACTAGCCAATATTTCTAAAGATGTTCGAGAGAAGGCGAATGCGATGGTGGGCATGAGATCACGTTCCCGGAGAAGATGGACGACACCAAGCCAAAGATTTTTAGTTCGATGATCATGTACACTCAGTCCACCAGAGGCTAGTAAAAATTATAATAATAGAACAATTCAGGCATTATACAAGTAAATTCAATGAGACATCAGATTTACATTAAAACAGTATGTAGGTGTAATTCAGAATTATTGGTTTGAAAAAAGAAACAACTGAAATCTATGTAGTATGTTTTCACTACTTTTTAAAAGAATTTATTCATTTGCATTCCAAGTGAAATACAGGGTCCCAAGCATGAGCTTTGAAGCCCTGGTAGCAGTGGTTTTATTTCTACGGATGGAAGTTGCCGTTATCACACCCAATCTTCCCCCTTTACAGGGCTTATCACCCAGGATTGAGTCGACCGTGGATAATAATAATTATAGTAATAATCACTGTATTCCAAACAATAATAATTATACAGAATGGAATTTTCAGCGTTTTTGTATATATTGCAACAATTTAACTTCTTTTATGAATATGCACACATACATAAATTCTAAAATATTAATAATAATATTAATAAAGGAACCATTATAAACAGAATGTTGATGAAAACATAATGAAGTTTAAGTAGACAGTATCACAGATAGTACATGTCATAATAATCTTTGCTTATATTTTGCTGTTCAGATTACTGATTTAAAAAGCTTATAAGTTCGTTTCTGACATCTGATTCCACAGAAAACCCCTGTTCAATATGGTGTGGTAGAATTTTTACATTTAATTGTACGAGTGCAAATTCTTATGAAGTTTCTTCTGGTTTTACTCGAAGAGATACAAGGAGAAAGTTGAGAATTAAGACGATGTTGCGTATCAGGCAAGATAACCTTAGCCAAACGCTTAAAAGAATTTAAGTGCCTATTGACAATAATGTCAGTTAGCTGAGTCAAAGGCACACCACTAACCCTACTTACAGCCTTCAGTGTTCTACGTAATATGACGAAGTCTTTTATGGGAAGTCCAGGGAAGAAAAATGGCGAACAATAAAGGAGAAAGGAGAGAATACATGAATTAACAAATTGTAAGAGAAGAGGTTGAGTTATGCCAGACAACATGTAGTTTAAAAATAGAATTTTATATTTTCAGTCTCTGTTGTGTGAACCAATCACATCAACAGCCTACAGCTTTATTAGCAATCGACATTGCTTGAGCTGACTGTTTTAATGGACTCATTAGTTTAAATTTAATCAGATAAGCATCCTTGACACCTTGCACACTGCTTTTGGTCATGTTCAATCTCTAGTCAACTACACACATAGTTCTGCTAGATTATCGGCAGAAATGCTAAACTTGCCAATTGTTTTGATATGTGTAAAATAAGTATAAGGGGGTTGAAGGATAACACACGCATACAATTATTATTATCGTATTATCAACAGCCTGGAAAGTTTCTATTCTTGACAAATTTTCGAGGCATTTTAGTATTGTGTTCTGGACTGGGTATCTGTAGTTTTTCTTTCTCTCGAGGATATTTACCAGCAGTTCACTAGATTTCAAAAAATTCTACTAACATTGCAAATTACTGCCTGAACCATTGCATATTATATGAGGTAATTTTATATAACACATAGTGATACAGTACTGGTAATTGAATGACGTTTCTGAGTACAATTTATTGGCTTTATGTAGTCTTCTATACCCGAGTGTTTTTTAAAAAATCTAAAATCCCATACATCCGGGATTAGTATTCCATCACTCATTACATATATTGACTATTGATTTACATTCAGTGGTTAACCTGTCTTTCCACCTAACCTTATTGCCCTACCCTAGCCTATTGTGTAGTTGTATAAGTTTTCCTTCACGTTCTCCAGTGGAACATAGGGCTTCAAGCTAGTGGCTTGAAGTTTCTGTAGCAGTGTTTATTTTACAGGATGGGGTTGCTAGCCTCATGCCCAACCTTTCCTCTTCACCAGTATTATTTCTGGCCTAGCGAGGTAAAGGGGTGCATCGGCCGAGGATCGAACCCCAGACCATGTGCATGGTCGGCGAGAGTCCTAACCGCTATACCACCGACGCGTGTGGTTTTATGCGGTGGCCAAATTGTTTCTAGATCACTTGACCCAGCGCGGTCAGTCATCCCATATCTAGCTAACTACTTATGTACTCACAACGTAATTGGTGTTCAACCACTCATCTGACCTATGTAATTGAGCTTAAATTCATTACATAGTAGGTGATAAATCATACTTTGGATTCTTAAGTCAACACAGATTGCTTCTGAGTTAGCTATTACGCAAAACTATTTATAAGAGTCTAATTTTTGCAAGTGTAGGAGATCGAATTGCTTGTTTATAATAAGAGATAAGCAGGGTAACAACTGTAATAATAGGCGATTAAAACAAACAACCGAAAACTGTATGGATTGGTACAATGATCTGGTCAGATCACACCTAAACCCTCTCAACACACTAACTCCTATTTTAGTCAATATTGCTCGTTGAAAAAAGCTGTGATCCATGATGCACAACAACATATGTGTCCTAGTCAGTCAATCAATGATCGATGGAGGAATAGAATTTGGGCACTGTGGTTTTATTGATTATATCATCACCCTTCGACAGATTCTGGAACATAAGCATACTTACCGGCTTCCAACAATCGTTATATTTCTTGACCTAAAGGCGGCATTCCATTCCGTCGACCGAGAGGTACTCTGGTGATGTTCGGTTGTGAAGGGAATGCCGAGAAAATACATTGCACTGATCAAGGAACTCTACTCGAACTCATATAGTTAGCCAACCAGGTGAGAGCTTACGGTGAGTTGTCATCTGAGCTGGTGACAGCTAGTGGTGTCCGACAGGGATGCCCACTATCCATCCCCATGGCTATTCAATTTCATCATGGATGTACTAATGGAATTAACCCTTACTGACTTCAGTGACTCACGGATTGACTTGTTACCAGGGAACAATCTTGTTGACTGAGAATGTGCAGATGATATAGTCTTCCCACCTGGGTGAAGATGCTGACAAAATGCAGAGTCTTCTGAACGCCTTGAGCTGCAATCTGCGAATGTTTAGCATGCGATTCGCTCCCGCTAAATGTAAGATGATGCTACAGGACTGGACTACATCGACACATTCTTAGCTTAAATATAGAGAAGGAGTGAAGTGGTTGGTTGAGCGTGTTGACCACTTCACTTATTCGGGAAGTTGAATCAGCCAGCGCCAACGGGTTGATCACTGACGAAATCTCAGCCCGGATACAGAAGGGTCGTTTCGCATGTGCCAGTTTACGCCATCTCTGGCGTAGACGTGATATCCGGCTGGCTATCGACCAAAGGAAATGTGTACTGCTCAGCAGTCCACTCCGTCCTCCTTTATGGCTGTGAGCGAGACATGGCCATTGAGAGTGGAAGACATGAAAAGGCTGACTAGCTGTCTTTGGTCATAGGTGACTGCTTTCTATCTCTCGTGTTAAATGGTATAACAAGGTGAGTAATATTAAGGTAAGTCATCGGTCGAGTGCTAGGTAAGGAGGGGAAATCAATAGACGAGGCTGTGAAGTTACATCGACTGAGATGGTTAGGACATGTGTTACACATGCACGCCTAAGCATCGCCTTCCTCGACGGTCAATGTTAGCTGACATAGGATGGATCAGGTTGGAAAAGAGCCAGTGGTGGTCAAACTGAAACACGGCCTCATCAGTCAATGAAATCCACAACAGTTAGTTTAAGCTAGCCAAGTAGGGAGGGAGGTGTAGAAGTCCTCACTGGTTGGGGTCCTCGGGACGGTAGAAAGCAATGACTGGAGACAATTGGTGATATGGCTCAAAATCATTCTCAATGACTGGCGCAGATGCATCCACTGCTTGTGACTTATAATACCCAATGAAACTACATTGTTCTTTGATATTACTATTCTTCATGCCTCATATCCGTCTACTGTCTCTATTTCGCATTCCTTCTACTTTCTTCTCTTGCTTTTGTTTGCTACATGTAGTGTGGCGACTTGAACTGCTACACATCAGTGCAAAGTCCTATGTTGAAAACAGACAGACAGACTGTTAAAAACAGAACAAATCTTTAGTTCCTTTACACATAAACAAACACGCAACAGTAAAGAGAATCAAATAAACAAGGAAAATTAGCTATACGTTATATTATAAAATAAAATGAAAAAGGGGAAAGATTATGTACCAGTGTTTATTAAAAAGTCATTATACCCTACTAAACTTTTAGACTTCAAGTCATCTCATCCGTTATCTGTAAATGCAGGCTTAGTTAAGTACCTAACAAACAGTGCGGAAACTCTGAGGTAATACGTTCAAAAAACCCAAATAAGTAAGTGCAGTAAATAGAACAAGCACACTGATGCTAAATAACTGTTCCAGAATATTCATCAAGATCAATAATGCTCACAATAAAAGTAAATATAGTAGCGAAAATTACTAACCACAACACAAATAAGGAGGAATTTACGGCATCTACAATTTTGATTATATACGGAAGGGACTCTTAATAAAGCAGCAATAAAGGGTAGTGGTCGAAACCTACAGACTCACTCAAAGGAAAAGTCTGTGGACTAAAGTACCCTATTGACCTAACTGGACTCTATATAACTTGTTCTATAAAATACATTGTAATAACTATGAGGACAAATATGTAAGTCATTTTAATAGATTGGGGTTCAGGAAGGTTATCAGAACACAGGAATGTAGTTAAGTGTAGAGTGATTGATCCCACGAAGATGAATAACTTAGAGAAATACTCAGTAGCCTCAATGCATACACTAACATACAATCACACAATAACTCAAGATGGAGCTGCAGTTTTAAAAAGTAATATATTTAGGTGGAGGGACAGGTTGACCACTGGATCCCTGTACATCGAATCTACGCATAACACGTACAATAAGAACGGCACAACACCGATACTACAGATATGAAAAACATTGTCACCAATAAAATCAAAGAAAAAGGAATAACAGAACTACATATAGAAAGTTAGGAAGCTATGCGAGTGCCTTCGTAATATTGTGAGCAATAAACTGTGTTCGAAATATCACCAGTATATAAATAATATTGTACACTGTGTTTTGTCAAATAATTACACTGTATCAGAAGAATGACAGATGTTACTTAACACCCACTTGAATTTCCATCTAACTGGCAATGAACCACACCTACTGTATAAGGATCAATGGTAAAACGTCACTGCCAAATCGTCAACAGGAGGGGAATGAGGTTTGAACACATCACTCGGTGGGTGGAATTCAATCGTCTATACTGGCAGAACACTGATTAAGTTATACTATCATATGTTATTTTCATCCCTTTACAGCATTCTTTAGTTACATCGTTCTATTGACTTTCTGTTGACAATGTTAGTTAATAATGAAGTAGTTTTATCCCATAGTGTGTGTGAACGAATTCACAATAAATGCTTTTCATATTCAACTAGTGAGTTTCAATTCAGCATTTTGCATCCATACAGTTCAGAAGTGATAAGAACATTAGCAGTTTAATAAAAATAGAGACGAAACTAAGCAGCAGGAATACCTAATACGTGTATTATTATTAACAGTAATAATAATAATAATAATAATAGATACTTACGTGGAAGAGGACGAAAGTGTCCGGGAGTATTCATTTTTCCACCGGTATCTTTCTTTGGAGGTTTTTTAGTATTCTGATTAGCTGGAGGCTGATTTGGTTTCTTTTCAACAACTTTCTCTCCACAAAGCATACGATGTGCTTGTTTGTATCCTAGATATGTAAGTATAAATATGTGTGTACAATCCTGAATACGTTATTTTCAAAAAATTTCTTCACAGAACTTGTACCGCTATTATCGGACACTAGTTGCTAGTGACTAACCTCATGCATTTAGTCCTTAGTGTTGGCGCAGACTGATAGAATTCAGTCCGCAAACCCAAATAGCTCAGTGGTGGTAACGTCTCCAACTGCAGCAGTAGGTAACCTAGGTTCGAATCTCAGATGGGAAATGAACTCTTCCAAGAATGTAAATACGCCTTTCTGACTGACAAGTGCCAATCAGCTCGAAACCTAGGTTCAAGGCTTCCTGTTGATTGCCTCCAACCATCAAAAAACTTGTATTAGCTATTCTTACTTCATAATTATAAAAATATAAAGTCATACAAACATACATAAGTCATAATTCAATTAAAGAATACAAATAAAAAGTCCATAATACTGCAGTAATTCTTCAACTGACTGAACAAAGCGCGAATAAGAAATAGGTAAAACGAAAAGTATAGTGAAAGTATCTTCTAGTAAGAACAGTTAGTCTGAAACTACTATCCATTTATCTGTCAAAAGCACCAATTAGTTGGAATACCTATCAGCTTGCCAAATACATTTTCAACAACCAGTTGACAGAATTCAACTCTTATTAGTGACGTTTCACCTGACTATATATATATATTTTTTATTTTTATTTTTTTATTTTGATTACAGCTTGATTCCACACCGTATTTTCAGTACAAGTATGGAATTTTCAGCATGGATATCGGTAGCACAAATTTTGCAGGCCGACCATAGATATCGGGTGTGCGCCGGCAGGGGATCAAACCCCGGACCATGTGCATGGTCGGCGAGAGTCCTAACCACTGTGCCACCGACGCACAATATATATATATATATATCCCTTATGAATTCACCTCCATAACAGTTAAACCTAGAATACGAATTGGCACTTTGAGACAGTGCGGAGAATACCAAACATATTGAGATATGTGATTTCCTGACTATCATTAGATAGTTATTAATGTATTTTATCCCCCTGATTTCTCAATGCCATTCATATTTATATACTGGGTATCACTATTTATTTCCCGGCTTGCTAAAAAGAAAAAGAAATTACGCAGATCGGGAAAAAAATAGGCTTACCCTGAACATTGAACTGACCAGTTTGATCTACTATAAGATGAAGGTGATCTTTTGTTCGTTGACCATCCATACCAGTGAAGATAAAATGTTCTAAAGGGACTGGACGCTTGTTAGTCGCAACCACGTGGATTTCAGTATCTCGTATACGTCCTAACCAGTCGGCAAATTCCACTTTGTTTGGAACTGTTGCGCTTAACATAACAAGTAAAACATGTTTAGGCAGCATAATCATTATCTGTTCCCACACATGACCTCTTTCAGCATCATTCACGTAGTGTACCTGTACAATAATTAAAGTTGCAAAAACGTCATCATCAAAACAAAAAATATATATTCACATGTGCTATCATTTTAATCAATTGATTAATAAACTGAGATATAAGAATTACTCTATTTCACCAAGTTCTGTTGTTATTTACTAACTCGTATACTCCTGCTAAATATAGTGACTTAAAACAATATACTACAGTGGCTATTTCTCCTTTGCGGTGTTCAGCCGATAACAACATTGAAAAATGTAATCAATTCAGTGATTGTTACAGTAAGACACTAATTTCGATTCTTTAAAAAGAAATTAGTCTAAATCTGTCTTTTTTTATTATTTGGCATTCCGAGTTAGGCATAGGGCTTCAAGCTTGAACTTTGAATTTTCAGTGGAAGTGATGTTTCCTTTTTCGGAGTGAGTTTGCTGGCCTCACGCCCAATATTCCCCCTCCTTACCTGTCTCGCTACCGGCTAAGCGTTGTGTAGGAATGCGTCTGCCGGGAATCGATTCCCGGAGCATATGCGTAGTAGGCGGGTGTTTTACCACTGCATCACCGACACGACCAAAATTCAGAACCCGGTAAAAAATCCAATGCGATATTCGGAGGGATATATGTCTTTAAATATTGCGTTGGTGGAGGCAGATTTTGCCAAGACAGAAACCAGTTAGTTACAGAACCATTAAAAATAAGGAGCACTAGTTCATCCTACTTTAGAACTTCCTCAGCAGTGTTTACTCACAATCCCATCAGGGATTTAATCCTAAACGTCCGGGGTAAGCGTACCATTATCCAGTCACTGGGTCGGATTCCAGTTACTAATGAATTCTAACATGAAGCGAACACCACCCGATATCATTAGTGGGTATTTGTCTTCAAATGTGATAGGTTGGATCTCAATTAGTCACGATTTCACATTAGAACTCCAAAACATATAATTATCTAATTACTACTGAAAGGATAAACAATAGCAAGGAACTTCATGAAGTAACTTAATAGACAAGAAGTCTGACAAAATGATAAGATGCAGTCTTGTAAATAGAAATTTTTTGTTCTAACTAACTGAAAATAAGCAACGAAGAGCACAACACAGCCTCTTCGGTTAATCTTACAAGATAATTAATTATACGTAACTGAATGAAAAATCAGTGAGTACAAATGGATATAAATTATGTAACACAAGTTTTTTCTTTAACTAAGTAGATATCATTTGAGTAATGTGGTCACTCGAATTTTAATATACTTTCACCTCCAACAACTTCGAAACATGTACAACAACAGTATGATGGCGAAATCGGAAAGAGGTCACTTCCTTAACATATCTAGGAAGCATCGTTTCAACAGAACTTCAGAACTTCCAGTAAACACAGAAAAGATGAACGAAGCCAGTTTCTTCACTTATCTAGACAGCACTGTTTCAAATACTGGTGGAACGGATGGAGATGTCGAGTCCAGAATTGGAAAGGCAAGAAAGATATTCGTCACTCTGAAATCTATTTGGGAACCTACTGCGCTCAGCATCAACAACAAAATTCGAATTTTAAATACCAATGTTGAGTCAGTCCCGTAATATGGGTCAGAAACTTGGCGTGCGTGAAATCAAAAGCATTCTAACGGGCTACTGAAGACTTTTATCAACAGCTGTCTTCACTGGCGTCATAGTGAATATCAAATGGTCAAAAAGAATCAGCAACAAGAACCTCTGGGAATGGATCGGACACGCGCTGAGGAGACAAACGAGTGACACCACAAGCCAGGCCCTCAAGTGCGTCGCTCGAAGGTGACATTGAGGAGATGAAAGCTTATAAACAATCATGAGACCAGCTGAAGAGGATTGCAGAGAACAAGACAAAGTAAAGACTTGCTATTGAAGCCCTGTGTTCCACTTGGAACCCCAGATAATAATAATAATGCACCAATACTTGCTTCTTTCAGGAGTTTCAGTATTCAGGTCATACGAATTAAAGGCAGTATAACTAATTACGATTTGACGAATATGATTCTATCATAAATACTAATGTTGATGGCCATAGTTTATAGCCGAATGCACACAGCTAAAAAGAGGTAGCAGTTCACTGCAATAATATGAAGTTAACATGATTTATTATGCAATGAAGACAAAACAATGCGTTTACTTACCTCATCCATAATAACTATTTCTAGATCTCTAATGGTATCAGCATCGTTACACAACATGTTATGGAGAATTTCTGTGGTCATTACAAGCAGAGTAGATTCTGGTGCTAGTTTAATATCCCCTGTAATTAGTCCAACATTATCTCCAAATGTATGTCTAAAGTGAAGATAAAAATAAACAGTGAGAAAGGAAAAGGACTATAACTGTGAACAATGACGCAACAAACTAACACAAATTTGAATTTCCTCGCTTACATATCACAGATAATATCACTTAGATAATATGAGCATGAAACACATGAAATTAGCTAAGTACTTTTGATCAAAAACTAGTATAGCCGTGTGACAATTGTAAAGACTAAAAAACAGTAGTAAAAATTCTGAACAACGATACTACCAAAGAAGCCAATGATACAGTATGTAAAAACGAAATAAAAGAACATAGAATACAAAAACGTCAAGATGGTATCATTTGTTTAGATACTCGCTATTGATCACATCTTCCCACCTAACTGACTAACTGGTGAGTCAACATGTCTTAAACATATAAAAAACGAAAGACACGAGGATGAAAATAAAATGTTTGCATGTTCGAAAACATGACAAAACAAAATAAGTAAGTGACGTAAAAGATGCGGGGTGTTTTTATCGACATCTAGTGTCACTGAACGCCAGCCTCTACTGCCTTGCAGACGACAGTAAATAGCATTCTACACTCTTACTTTCTTCTACTTTAGCTAACATCTCAAGCTGAGGATCATGGTAGTTAGGCATACTGAGCCGAGTTTTCGATATAAAACGTTGAGCACAGGTACAGCGGTTCAAGTCGCTTCACTCCATGTAACACGCAAAGGCAAAAAAAATTCAAACGAACTTTAATGACAGGAAATGTACAGCAAGAAGGATGACTACAGGAAGAATTCAACAGATCTAAGAGATTACAAAGGGGGAATAAATCTGCACCACAGAGTATGATTTTGAGCCATATTACTATCACTCTCCAGTCATTGATTCTCGGCAACCCTAGCCAGGTAATTTACACCTCCCAAAGTGACGGGTGCAAAGCAACAGTCAAAAAATTCATGGATTGATGCCATTATTTGATTTGATCAGCAGTAACTTTTCCAACCTAATTATATGTCATTTAACATTACTCGATGAGGAAAATGATAACTGGACATGCATGACACCTGTCCTAGCCGACCCAACTGATGTGGCTACACAACATCTGATTGATTTTCCCTCTTTACTCAACACTACAAGAAATCGCAATGTTCCTCAGCGAATTACAGCGTTTAGCACGGGAGACAGAACTCAATCATCTGTGGTCAAAGACAGCCAGTCTCTTCAGGTCTTTCACTTCCAACAATCATGTCTCACAGGTTAGCACGTTCAGCCGCTTCACTGACTACCTTTAAACTAGGAGTTAGTGCGCATCACTCCTGCAGCTTCATCTTACATTTAGCACGGGCGAATCACATACCAGACATATTACGATTTCCATGTGAAGTGTTTAGAAGACGCTACATGCTGTCAGCGTCTTAACCTAGATGGGCAATATCCCCCATATAATATAAATTGACAAGAATCTACCCTGGCAACAAGTCAGTCCCTAAGTCGCTAAGGTCAATACGGGCCACACACAATAATACATTTGTGGTGAAATCAAACGAAAATGGAGGCACTGAGCATGCCTGACGGACACCAATGGTTGTCGTCACTTCAGATAACAACTTTCCGTAAGCTCTTACCTGGCTGAGTGAGTCTGAGTAGTGTGTCGATTAATGCGATGTACTTTCTCGGCGTTCTCCTCACGGTTATGCATTACCATAGTACTCCTCGGTCGACGGAATCAAATTCCGCCTTCAGGTGAGAATATATGGTAACTTCTGAACGCCAGTAAGTATGCCTATCTCCCAGAATCTAAGGGTGTAGATATTATTAATACACTTTCTGCCCTAAAGCCTGCCTGGTTTTCACGGGTTCGCTGACCCGGAGCACCGCTCAGTCCACTAACCAATTTAATCCCCTATAACTATCTGATCCAAAGACATCACATAATTCTTTATGCAACCCTTGCATAACCCATCACGTTTCGCTGTCTTTCTTCTTTTTAAATTTGAGATAACCTCAGTTTCAGCTGGAGGACCAATGTCTACATTGCGAACAAATTGTTTCCTCCACAGTTTTATTCTTCTATACTGAGGTAATCAAAGCTCCGTAGCAGGAAACTATCTCGCTCATCATTTGTCTTTTAAAACCCGTTCGTCTGAAAAGCCTCAATAGTTGTCTGATGTTACCTACCATCGGTGTTTTTTCTCTTTTTGGATTTCGTTACCCACCACTGAGAAGGAAGATTAGTAGCAAATAGTCTGTACTAGACGCCAGTAAGTATGTGTAGGCATACGTACCAGCCGCTCCGGAGAATCACATTAATGATCGAACTACCACTCTCAACGTTACTTATAGTTTTACTTCAAGCAGGGAGTAAAACATACGTATTGACGGTACTCATTTTATCCATAATCAGGCTATTTTAAAAGTACTTTCCTATTAGTTTTCGAATAAGATACATCAAGAAGCCAATTACTATTATTTACTTGGTGATAATAGTGTTTTCCTGTTACACATTATGAGAGAACTAGAGTGTAGTTTCAAATTAATCCCCAACGACAGATAGTAATTCCGAACCCTCTGTAATTAGACAATATTAGGATGCAGAAATACTTAGACCTTTCCTAATTCTACAGTTCTAAATTCTGGATAGTAGGGTAAGTAATTATACTTTCAATGTCATGTTATGAAATACCATATTGTAAAATTTTAAAATTTATACCTGAAGTCATAGAACTTCTGATTTGATAGGGCTTTTATAGGACTAGTATAGATGACTCTAGAACCACGACGTCGACAGAGAGCGCAGGCATACTCCGCAACAACTGTTTTACCAGCTGAGGTATGGGCCGCCACAAAAACAGTTTGATTACGCTCAAGGCACAAAATAGCTTGTTTTTGAAATGTATCCAGTTCAAAATTCCACTTGAACGCAGGATTATCCACTAGCTGGTCCAACGGTGGCAGTTTACAGGTAGTATCTTCCTACGAAAAAAGAGAAAAAACGTAGCAGAGTTTTCACCACTAAATTACGTATTCCTGAAAAATCTACAAAGCCCTCAAACTCATTTGCATGCAGAGAGTACATTATATATATAAAGCTCCGGTGGACCTACCACTTATACGAGTATTAGATGTTACTTGTTAGTTGACATCACATTACATGGCAAAGAGAACACTACCATAAAGCTGGAAAGCCTTGGTATCAAAGGCAAGTTACTTAACTGGATTATGAAATTCTTTATAGATAGGAGGCAGAGGGTCAGGATCAACTCGAAACTTTCCTCTTGGATAGCAGTGCGTGGCGGAGTGCCACAAAGGCACCGTACTCAGATCTCTTCTATTTATTTTGTATACCATTCAGTTATCTCTGTCCACCGATTCCCCTATGGTCCTGTACGCAGATGACTTAGAAATTTAAAAGAGAGCTGAAGGACAACGGTAATACATTCAGGTTGCAAGAGGACCTCAACAAATTGTCAGAGTGGCCCAGAGAATGGATGCTCCCAATCAATGTAGCAAAATGTGCAACCATGCGAATCGGACAAGCAAGCGTAAGCTCCTACGAATTGGAGGGAATAACACGGCAACTCTAACACTTCCATCAGTTCAGACTCACTTGGACTTAGGTGTCGTAGTTAGCCACAATTTAAAAACTACAGCACACCGTCACGCGGTTGCTGCACGTAGTTTCAGGTCCTTATGGGCAATTTGCAGAGCCTTTACTAGAATCACCAGAGATATATTCACCTCCTTATATACATCTCTGACGAAGTCAAGACTGGAGAAATGTATCCAGGCAGCCAGTCGTTGTCTTAAAGGGGACTCACATACTCTAGAAAAGGTACAAAGGAAGGCAACACGTATGATTCCCGGCATGACTAACTTATCATACGAGGAAAGACTAGACAGTTTAAATCCCTGTCATAACATAGTTAGAGAAGAGATTTAATTACAATGTTTAAAATTTTAAATAATGACTACTGGCCTGAGTACTGGTTATCACACCCAGTCATAAATTCTTGGAACCGACTCCCAGAAGAAGTGGTGTCTGCAACCTCAACTGATTCATTCAAGAAGAGTCTGTACAAGCACAAAAATTTACTCGAAAAGGATGAACATAGGCTCCAAGCCTTCTAAACTCAACCAATAAATCTGAGTCTGATATTAAGTAAATTATTGCATAACCACTCTTAATAAATAGGTCGAATAATGTGACCACATAAAATTATGAAAAAATAACGGTACTTACTAAAATAGCGTAGGATTTTCGGGGCTTGGAATTCCGAATTCGTTTCTCCAATAATTCTCGAGTTCCCACATCCAAATCTAGACGTTTACCAAACTTCAGGTCCTTCAAGTCAGATGAAAAGTTGGTGTCATGTTTACAGCCTATCCAGTCATACAAAACGCTACTAGAAGACGATAGTGTGGCGCTAACGATACTGTCTACATCTTTTAAGTCTCTGCTAGATGATTTTGATGCAAGTGAGAGACGTTTCAGGGAAAATTGTTCGCCGAGTTTATGCCTGACACTACTGCTAACTCTTTCAACGGCACATAGAACTGCAGCTTCACTCTGAACGGTATGAATTAAAAATACGGAATTACCTTCAACTCAGTAAGGCTGGAAACTCCAGTCTCTTTATATACAACATTCTCACAAAACATATCGGTACTTGTCAAAACACCATTGATGCATTCACGATTGGTAACAGCTTCGTAAAATGTATCTTCTATGTTTTGATGTGCCAGCTGTTCGCTGATAGGTCCGGAATCACAATAGTTGTCGTGTGGAAAAGAATGTTCAAGGAATGCATGAAACTGAATTAAGTGTGACATATCAATAGTGAAAATTATTCATATGTTTTCTGTTAGCCCTACAAAGATAAATACCATTAGAAGTCTTTCGCGACTTGTGTATGAATGAATACTGCCCCTACTCGACCTTCGCGACAAATTTACCTCGCACGATCGACCTTGACAGCGCGAAACACTGATTCAGATTCAGATCATCATCTTCGAGTAATTTTTAAACTGTTACTACTGTGAATGGAGTTGATCCTTTCACAGTTAGTCTTTCGGTATCGTCGTCAATGGAAAGAGAAAATAGATAACATATAACAACAAGCTCTTTTGACCTGTGTTTATCTTTATAATAAGTACTTCTGTGAAGATCTTGGTCAAGTTAAAGCGTAGTGAACGCGCCAATGAACTTCTGAGCAATCAAACCAATTTGGTGAGACCAGGTAAAAACTACCATATTCTCTAAAATATTCAGGAAAGGAGCAAGGAAATTGGACATGATATCTCTCCTGGTCATTCGATGGCCATTGATGCGTCCATCCGCTTTGAACTGCTATTCTTTAGATCTACTGAGATTTGATTTTTCTTTCATCAATCCATCTATCAAACTCTTCCGCACTTCTTATAGTTTTAATCGTGCAATTACATCAAATGACAAATACATGAACTCGCTTATAGAAGATACGTCTACCACTATACGATATACAACTTTCGAAGGAATTGTCGAAAAAGTGTACAGAAATGGTTCTCCTTGGTAACTCTAAACTATAGCGGCCAGAAAAGATACTGCCTAATAAAAACCTTGAGGGACCTCTGAAGACCAATCAGGTGTGCTCAAAGTAGGAGTACGGCCGAAATCAAACTGCCATAGCCAAAACCACAGTGACCTTGAACACTCAATCAGTTCATAGTTTAGACTGCTGTTCTTAAAAGCCACGCTCGCAGGAAACGGTTACCCTAACCGATTTATTGAAAGCAACATGAAAGATAAGCAGTCTAAACTGGTCACCGACTCAGTTCCAAAGAAAACCTTATTCATGAACTTGGAATACAAAGGTGGTCAAGCTTCAGATATGCTCAAAAATCGTCTCTCTAAAGCAGTCAGTAAAGCCTTCTTTGCAGCGAAATTACATATGACGTTCACTAGCCGCAAGTTGTTCTCTACCTCTGAAAAGATAAGCTTCCCTGTCTGGCCGCTTCTATGTGCATCTATCTGTTCACCTGCTCCTGTGGAGCAAGGTACATTGGCCGTAGTCAGAGGACGCTATCCACACAGATACGAGAACATATTCCAGAGTGGTTTTACAAGGGAGAAAGGAAGTGTGTGCGAAGCTCTATTCTGGAACACCTGATCGACTTCTGTCACTCTAACAACCCTGACCATGATTTCAAGATAATGAATAGAATCCATGCTAACGACCCGCGTTTTCTTCGTTACAGACTTCTAAAGGCCTTAGCACTACATGACTCTTAGCCAGACCTTTGTGTACAAAAGAAGTATGCACAATCCCCACTTCTGCCTTGGCCGTAGAGGGATAGACATTTATTTATTTTGTTTATTTAGTTATTCTATGTACTTTTCCCTTATTACTAAGATTATTACTTTTATTATTATCATTATTATCATTACTATTCTCACTCTGAATTGTTTCCACTTGCCCCACTTGTCATTCTAAATTATTAATTTTTATATTTTTTATTTTTACAATATTGAATTCTATCTTATCAAATTTCACACCATATTGTGTAACATTTTATATTCGCCTACCAATCCTATAATTAGTCCTTTAATCTATACACTTATGTATATCTATATATGAATTAATAATGCATGCTCGAGAGGTCAACACCTCAAGCCAACCAAATACCGGAAACTCAGCACAGCATAAGGGCTTTAGAACATAAAGCTGATTCCATACTGTGCTAGTTACCAAAACTAACTACACGCACACGAAAGAGCTGTTCTAGAAGCTCAGCTAATCAACGTTGCAGGTCACCTAGTGTGGCCAGAGAACGTGATATTATTTGTTTGTGCCACCGTAATTACGGAAGCAATGCACGGTGTTGCCTCCTTCCTTGTAATTTTCAGTAAAAAATAATAGATGTATCCGGATTAGTGACGAATTCTGCCATCGGTAATCTGCAGTCCAGTAGTCTTTTTTTATGCAGCAGATCGGTATGCTGGCACTACATTATTAGTCGACACGAGAACAGAATCGAGCGTTCTCCCTCCCTTCACGCAGGAGTGTCAACATCTTGACCCAGCAGTCGGGCTTTAAGCTTCTAACAGGTCCACTGTTGCAAGCTATGAACGCAAACGTATGAATTTTGATTTTGGACCACAGAATACCTACTTTTGGTCATTTGTCATTGCAGACGTCCCATCACCCATCTAAGGGGTCGGTTTATTGCTCTACCATAAATTGCTGGTAGACTCAATAAGTCTTGAATTTATCGACTCACACAACCAACTGTACATTGCTGGTACTGTCAGCCGAGCATCGTCTTTAAATCTGATGGTTGCACGCACGCCGGTATCTCCGTTTACTGAATTAGTGAACCAGTTCCCCGATCTTCTTCAACTTTCTTTCGGAGAAACCCAACTGAAGCATCATGTGGTTCACCATAATAGAACTATTGAACCACCAGATTCCGCACGGCCTGGACGCCTCAGTCCACAACGAGGCGTATCATAAAGAGAGAATTCGACGAAATGCTTAAGGCTGGAATCATCCTACTCTCTAGCAGCTCGTGGTCTTCACCAATTCATATAGTCCCTAAAGTGTCTTCCGGAGATTTGCGGCCATGTGGCGATTACCGAGCTTTGAACAAGCTCACGGTACCCTGCCAGTATCCACTAACACACATACCCGATTTCGTCGGCAATCTGCTGGATGTTAAAGTTTTCTCCAATATTGATCTCGTAAGAGCCTATCACATTTCCATTCATCCGGATGACATTCCGAAAACGGTTATTACCACACCATTCGGCTTATACGAATTCTTTCGCGTGACTTTTATGCTAATTAACGCAGCCCCAGACATTCCAACACTTAGTTGATCAAGTACTCCGTGGTCTCCCCTTCATATACACATACACTGACGACAGCCTCATTGCGAGTGCAGATGAGGTGGAACATTTGAAACATGTGAAGACTATTCGAAAGACTTCACCAAAGTGGAACGACCATCAACATAGACAAATATGAGTTCGGTGAGAACTCATTGAAATTCCTCGTGCATTTGATAGACAGCCAAGGAACCAGAACAGTGTTTGGTGGTGTACAAGCCATTAAGGATTATCCAATAACGGATTCTTTTGAGAAATTAAGAAGATTTTAGGTCTCGTCAATTTTTACCGCCATTTCATTCCTAACTGTGCTGCAGTTTTGCAGCCGTTAACTGACTGTTTACGTGGACACAGCCATCCAATTCACTTGCCAGTCGAAGCTGTTAAATCATTGAAAACTGTTCAGCACATGTTAAACGAAAGGACTTTTCTAGTCAGGTGCTCCTCTTTCCCTGGTGAAGTACGCCTCGAACGTCGCAATTGGGGTAGTTCTATAGCAGCAGTTACACGGCGAGTGGCAACCCCTCACGTTCTCTTCGAAATGACTGAGTCTTACTCAATTTCGTTATACCACCTTTGGCAGCGAGTTACTAGCAGTTTATCTGGTCGTCAAACACTTAAGACACTTGCTGGTAGGTATAGCTTTTACTGTCTTTACCGATGATAAAGCTCATACAAAAGCCTTACTAGGCAAACAAGACAACTGCTCACTTCGTGTACTACGATATCTTGAATTCATATAATAATTTACTTCAGACGTTCGACACGTAAAGGGCAGAGACAATGGAGCTGCAGACGCTCTGTCACACATGCACATCGGTAACATTGTATGTCCCGATATAGCCTACGAACATCTCGCAGCCCTACAAAAGAATGATGGTGAACTAAAGATTATGTCTTCTAAAATGACGTCCTCGAAACTTACCCAAGTTGCCTTTGACAAAACCAGAGTAATGTGAGAGACATCTACTGGTAGATGTTGACCTTTTGTTCAAGCAACTATGCGACGCGTAATTTTCGAGAAACTGCATAATCTCTCACATTCTGCAGTCACTGCTACTTACAAGCTGCTGAAGAAAAGATTTATATGGCCAGGCATAAATAGCAATGCTAAGTCTTGGATGTGAAATTGTTTGTCTTGCCAAGGAGTTAAGATTTACCGTCACACCAGTGCGCCATTTGATCGTTTCCCTAACCTCGCCTCAAGGTTTGACCGCATACATATAGATATCGTTGGTCCACTGCCTCCTTCCAATGGTTTCAGCTACATTTTCACTTGCGTCGATAGATTCATTTGTTGGCCAGTAGCAGTTCCAACAGCAGACGTATCCGCTGAAACAGTTGCTGAAGACCTGGTCGAAGACTAGAAGACAAACTTTGGTCTTCCGTCTATTATTACCACAGATAGAGGTACACAGCCGTCTTTTCCTACAGCTTACTGGTTTATCGGGAATTAAACGAATACGAATGACCTCGTATCGCCCTATTTCAAATAGGATGCATGAACGATATAATCGGTAACTTAAGACCGCGCTTGCTGCCTCTCTGACCAAAATGACCGGTCAACCCAACTCCCACTGTTACTGCTTAGTATACGAGGAACTCTAAAGACAGACATCGGATGCTGCGTGTTCATGTTAGCCTATGGGTCAACACTAAGGCTACCAGGAGAGATTTTCACCTCAGATTACCAGGTTCCAAGTGATTTGACTGACTACGTGCATCTATTAGAGCAACATATGAATGAGCTAAAAATATTACCTTCACTCCAGCAGCAACGATCATCATACATCCCGCTACAACTGACGTACTGCACTCACGTTTTCGTCAGAAAAGATGGTGTACAACGACCACTTGAACCTCCCTAAGATAGCCCATTTAGAGTACCACAGAAGAATGACAGAGTTATCATGGTAGAACGATCGAATAAAGCAGAAGGCATCAGCATTGATAGAGTCAGACCAGCATTTATTGACGACTTGCAAGACAATGACAAACATCGTCTGAATGACATGCCAACACCAGTCACTAAAACTGCAACGTCAGCAGAGCAACCCGTAAAAACAACGTTATCCGGTGGAGGAGTTCATTGGTCTAACTGGCGAATT